GGCTCCTGCAGGTGGGGGAGGGGGCGGGGGAGCGGGATCCTTCGGAGGAGGAAGCGCCCGCAGCTGGGGGGAGGGGTGCACCAGGCTGGGCTTTGGAGGAAAGAGTGCAAGAGACTGAGGCCAGGGGAGACGGCGGCCAGGCCTGGGGACACATAGGGGAGGGCCAGAGAGGATCCGTACCGTGCGGTGTCCATGGACGGGCCGGCCTCGCCTCATAGGGTGAGCGCTGGCTGGGAGGGGTCCCAGGCTTCTGAGGGGATGGAGGAGGAGAGGCCGCGGTAAGGGCCCTGGGGCCCCACTGGGGGCAGGTGGCTGGCGAGGCCATGGGCATGCCAGGCGGGAGTGAAGAGGATCTGAGCTGCCGTGGCGACGTACCGTGACAGAGTTAGGGAGGTCTGAAGGACGCCCGAGGAATTCTGATTTGGACAGTGGAGTTTGAGATGCCTCTGGAGCCTCCATCCAGTGTCTGGTTTGAAGGCATTGGTTGAAGTCCTGGGTTCGGGTCCTGCCTCAGGTGGTCACTACTGCATGACCTTGGGTGTGGCTTCACTCACTTCCCTTGTCCCGGTTCCTCACCTGCAGAATGAGGGCCTTGGAGGCGGCATCTACCGCCCCCTCCAGCTTTAGCTCTGATCTCGGGTCCTGCGCTCTGTCTAGATCTGTGGGGACCGCGCGTGGAGCGGGTTCTCTCCTTCCTGGGGTCCCAAACCCTTCTCAGAGTCATGTTTGCAAGTGCCTCCAATACAGGGTGGAGGGTGGAAGGGAACAGTGCTTGTGTGGTCAGGAGAACCGGGTTCTGACCAGGCTCGGGACACTGAAATGGTTCCGTTTGAGGAGTCATTTCCGTCCGAGCATCAGTTTCCCCATTTGTAACCCGGAGCTGATGTGGGGCTGATGGCCACCATGACCCGACCTGTCAGGCTGCTCAGTGCATGTCAGGAGAAAGGTTGGCAGGGCTAAGGACGGCTCTTGGCCCAGGATGCCGAGAGGTCCCCTAGAATCGATCTCAATTTGTTTAGAGGCCATTGGCTACCTGTCGTCGCCCCGAGGAAACCTGGGCCGCTTCCTTGGGAGAAGCGGAGGCTGACCTGACCTCCCAGGAAGATTCCTGAGGAGTCACCAAGCCCGCGTAGTTTCCCTCCCAGGAAGCTTTGAGTGTTGGTTTTCAGTTTCTGGGTTCCCATTTGCAGCAGCCTCACGCTGTATGTTTGGTTACCAAACGGTCCAGGGTAAATACTGGACTGTTGTTAAGGAGAGGAGTTACCCAAACAAATAGTTTAATCTTTGGAGAATCCTCCCAGGTGAGAAACTGTTTGTTTCTAAGCAAGTTAAGAATTTATGGTGGCGCGAAATAAATATTTAGGGAAAACCCACCTGGCTTGTTTTCCTGTTGTTCCTTTGTGTTCCGTTGGATGGTGGTTCCTCTGAAAACTGGGCTGAAGAAGCAGTTGGAGTCAAAAGAAGTCAGAGCTGGCCAAGAGGAAAGAGGAGTGGTCAGAGGAGTAGGAGGGAACCCAGCACCCGGGGCCAAGATGGCAGGATGTCGTGGCCTCTCTAGACGGAGCCACATTTCGGTGTGTGTTGATGCTTGGTTTTTAGCTGGTGTTCTGAGCTGCCCAGGGCTTCGGTGGGGGGGGGGGCTCATGAGCTCCCTCCTAGACACACTCAGAGCCCTGACTTGAGAGCACCCCAGCCATAATAATTTGTGAAATTTTTAGAATTTGGGGTGCTGCCCTGCCAGCCTCCGTTTCCTGTCTGGAAAGTGAAGGTGCTGCAATCAGTGACCTCAGAGGTCCCTTCTAGATAGTTACCATCAATATGTGATCAGTGGCAGCTGGGTTCTTTGGCTAGCCCATTGACATTGAAGAGTAAGAAGCTGTAATAATGGAGGAAAGACAAGGAATTCATTTTTAAGAAGCTTGCTGCAGATTGCTTTTCTGTTTTTCTGTGTCTTAGGTGTTGCTACCTGAAGGATAGGCAGATTTTCATGAGAGGGCAGTTAGTAAACTCGGAGTGGGAATCCCAGGGTTGGAGATGTTGATGTGGGTGTTTCACTGCTCATACTTGTAGACTTCTGTTGGCTCGTTCATGAAATGAGAATGGGATGGCAGGGTGAGCTGAGAGAAGGGTTTGTGATTGGAGGGAGAAGGAATTGACCGGCCAGCCAGCTCCCTTCCCAGATGTCCAGGGGCAGGGAAAGCAGGTGCTGACTTGCCCTGTGCCATCACCTGGCCGGCTGCAGAGAATGGTTCTTGATAGGGGTAAGCCAGTAGCAGATCAGGTATTAGTGACGAGGGGAAGATTGTGAGAGAGGCTGAGGACGCTGAAGCTAAACTGCCCTGAGCTCAGGGAATGGCGTCTCATACCCTTGCTTCCAGGTCAGACTGGGTTTCTAAGCCCAGGACTCCGGTTCTCTTCTCCAGTGCCATCTCACAAGGATCTCTCAGGCTTTTTGTGGGGGCTGCATCCTAGGGGAGACGTAAAGACAACGGAAGCAGTTCCTGCCTCTGTGGCGTTGAGGGTCCAGTACAGACCGCGTGATGAACGTGAGGGAGTGAAGGCTGCCTGCCAGGGGCGTCTGAGGCAGGAAGGGGAGGGCAGCTTTCATGGAGATAGTGGGTAGGATTCAGCCGGAAGAGGGGCGGGGCAGATGTGGGGAGCAGAGCCCACAGAGGTAGAACAGGGCAGAATGGGCAGAGAGGGTGGTCCCAATTAGAGGAGGCCTCAGAGGCCGGGCTGAGGAGTTTGGGTGCTATCAGTAGGCAGGCGATGGAAGCAGGGCGAAGGTCGGGAGCAGAAGATGGTAATCACCTCTCTGGCTAGCCCCAGTGGCGGAAGCTGGAGGCCACAAGAGTTATTGGGAGGTAAATGGAAGATGGTAATAGGCCTGAACCAGAGTAAGAGTTTGGGAAGAAGAGAGGGCGAATCAGCAGGGCTTGGCCAACGGAGAGGGGAAGAGAGACAGACGGCACCAACGTTTGTGACTTCTGGTGCCTTCCCTCCTGAGTTAACTTTATGTTTGTAATATCGATCACTTAATGCATACTGTAATACCGCTTTCTTGCCTTGCATAGGGATTGTTTCCTTCCGGCCTTGGGCTCTAAACCCGCACCACTAGGATGAACCGCTTCTGTGCCCTTGGGGGTCCTCATGCCATGGCTTTTTCCTCTCACTGTGGCTGAGCAAGAGTTGTCTAGAGATGAGGTTCCATTCTTGTATGGTCTCCAGTACCACTGTAGCAAACTTCTGCTTGTGTGGAGAACAGCCCATAGCGTTCAGGTTCATTCGTTCCTTCGGTGGCACGTGCCGGGGTCCCTCCCATGTACAGTGCTTCATCTGATGGACTAAGGAAGACACAAAGCAAATGGAGACAGACTCTGCCTTGTTGCTGGGGGAAGAGGGACTAAGAGGGATGGCTATGATAATCGTCAGCTGGGCAGTGTATATTGTCAGGGTACAGTAATGATAAGATTAGGATTTACCAAGTGCCACAGCAGGTGTGACTTTGGAGAGTCTAATTCTGATGTGGCAGGGTGGGAAGAAGAAGAAAAAATGGTTCCTAATGACTGGCCTGGCCTGGAATGGGAGGACAGAACCAGGCAATCACAGAAGGCTTCCTGGAAGAGACTCGTTGGAGCTGGGCCTTGAATCCAGGAATAGGACAAAAGCACATAAATGCTTCATATTGAACACATGCAAAGTCTCCCAAACAGCTCAAACCGGGGCATGGGATGTGTGGTGGGGCGAGGCACAAGGAAAGTCAATCATGACATTGTGGCAGGCCTCGAACGCCAGGCTAAGGAGGTTGGGCTTTATTCAGGTGCCGTTAGGAAGCCATTGAAGGGTTTTGAGCAGAAAGGTGACATGGTCAGATCTGTATGTAAGAAAGATTACTTTGGTACCACCGTGAAAGAGGAATTAGAGATTGGGAGACCAGTTAGGAAGCTGTTGCATTAGTCCAGGTGTGTAGCAGTGAGGGCCTGAACTAGGGTGGTGTCAGTGGGAATGGAAAGAGGGAGTGAACTGGAGACGTGGACCTAGAATCATGAGCACTTGGTCGTGGTTGGATTGGGAAGGTGGTGGGGCTGGGAAAGGCAAGCTGAAAAGAAGCCCACCCCCAGGCAGGGTGGCCCCGCGGTCTGTGACGTGTGTCTGGCAGTGTCCCGTTTGATGGCATGATATCCTCTTTGTAGAACCTTCTTTTGATGGGGGAGAGGTGTTAAATGAGAGTAAAACTTTCTCTTTTTTTATGTACTAAAAAGTCTGTCTTATGGCTAGGTCTGTTTTTAGCTTCTCTTTGCTTTGTAGGTAATTCTTGATTAATGGGACAGCATGGCCACCGGAGGAGGTCCTTTTGAAGAAGGCAGGAATGCTCAAGATTTGCCAAGCTGGAGTAATGAGAGTGTGGACGACCGGCTGAACAATATGGTACGGTTGTCCTAGAAATCGCAGTCATATGGGGGCCGTGTTTATTGTAGTCACTGTTCCCCAAAGGATCAGCCCGGCTTAGCCCATGAAAACTCTGTCGCACCAACGTGTTCATTCTGTCAGGCGAGCAGTATTGAGGGGGCTTAGTAATTGTTGAAACATAGCAGTCAGGATGGGAAGCCTTCAGAGGTCTTACAGATGAGGAGAACAGGTTTTGGGAGGTGAGAGAAATCACCCGGCCAGGAAGGAAAAGGGCCAGGAGTGAAACCCAGCCAACACTGAGTGCAGAGCTCTTTCCATCGGGGCTCTCTCCTCTGTCCCCTCGGGGTCATAGGCATCTGGCGGTGTCCGCGGGCTCCAGCTGGCTTAGCTTGGCAGAAAGCAGTAGGGAGCTGTGGTCTCTGATGTAAGGATTGGTCATTCCCTGGTGGGCCGTCATCAGGGCTACCTCGTGGGGCTTGGTTGCTGCCAATCTAAGTTTTCTCAGGATTCATCACAGACTGATGAAGGTTCTGTGATCTCAGCAGGTTCTCTTAGTATGCTTGAGGCAGAACCCCCAGGCTGCTGTATTTCAACTGAAGCTTGGATACAGGATTATGGACCTTGGGTTAAATTCAGTTTAGCGGGCATTTTAGTGCTTTAAGCGTGCTGGGGACACAGACAGTGGTTAGTATATGACAGGTGAGGGTTAGAGCTGGGGCCAGAGGGAGACCCGCTCCCAGAAGCACAGGGTATACAGTTTCAGGCTGAGTAATTTCTAAAAAATTGGGCCAGTGAAAATTGCGTCAGTCTTTGAAACTACTTAACTGCCTGAAAACCGACATATTATGCATTACCATTTTAAGGCCGAGCAAATTTTGTTCCCTAAATAAAATATCTACCTTTGCTAAAGGACTAACTGACTCTGACTTTATTGCTTTTTTCCCCCTCCTTTTTAAGGATTGGGGTGGCCAGCAAAAGAAAGCAAACAGATCAGCAGAGAAAAACAAGAAGAAATTTGGTGTCGAGGGTGAAAAGAGGGTAATGAATGACATTTCCCCTGAGTCGTCCCCGGGAGTTGGACGGAGAAAGACGAGGACGCCTCACACCTTTCCTCACAGCAGATATGTGACGCAGATGTCTGTTCCCGAGCAGGCCGAACTGGACAAGCTGAGGCAGCGGATAAATTTCAGCGACTTAGATCAGGTTTGTGCGTTGCTGGCGGGGGAGATACCATCCTTAAATCCGAGGTAGGGGCAGAGGCCCGCAGGGCTGACTCTGGGATGACCGAGGGCTGCTTCCTGGGCAGGCGTTTGTCTCTGGCTCCAGCAGGTCGGGTCTGAGGCTCGAGAACCGGAAGGGTCTTGGTGTTGTACTCGGCTCGTGCTTTGTAACCAAGCACACGGTAACATTGGTTCACAAGGCTGGATCCAAGACTCATTTTAAGATGTGCTGTTGTATTTGTCAGGGGCCCCGGTTCAGAAATGCTGGATTTGGTGACTCCTCCAGAAGAGATGGAGGTTTTTAGAGGTGGATTTAGTGTTCCCAGCATCGGGCCTCTCCTACCCAGGGAGTACTCCGTGCTGCGTGAGGTTTGTGTCCTGGCAGATTCAGGCCCAGGGTGACGGAATCGGTTAGCAGTCTGAACTGGCTTTTTTAAGCCAGTGTCTTCTGCTGATGTACCAGTGGACTGTGGTTCTTAGGCCTGCAGCCTCCCAGAAATCTGTGGACAAGTACTCGTTGTGACTGTCGTTCAGAGACATCAGGTCTGTGGTCTCTGACCCAGTGTAGGGAGAGCGAGCTGAGAGCCATGCCCGAGCGGTCTGAGGAGACAGTGAGCTGGGCAAGCAGGCTGTGGGGTTCATGCTGGCGGGGTCGGGTTTCTTTTTCACTCCAGAGGAGCATCGGAAGCGATTCCCAAGGCAGAGCCACAGCTGCTAACAACAAACGTCAGCTTGCGGAGAACAGGAAGCCGTACAACTTTTTGTCAGTGCAGATTAATACAAACAAAAGCAAAGATGTGGGTCCAAGCCCTCAAACGAGGGAGACGAGTGGGCCGTCGCAGTGTAAAGAGTTATTTGCATCTGCTTTGAGTAGAGACCTTCTACAAAACTGTCAAGTGTCTGAGGAGGATGGGAGAGGAGAGCCTGCGATGGACAGCAGCCAGGTAATGTGCTTCTCACCTGTGTGTCTCTTCTGGTCTTTGCCCACATTCCCCCCCCCCCCCAAAGGAGAGAGCCTTTGAAAAGAAATCTGACGTGCATGGGGGCGTACACGTGGTTAGTTTTGTTAGGGTAAGTAGAAACTGTTTTTTGTTTGTCTTCCCCGCTAGAGAAAAACGTTCTAAGTGATCTTCCTAACACGCTCAAAATATGTGAAAGTTTGCAGGATTATGGAGTGTTGCGGCTGAGAACCGCTGATGTACACACAGGCCCTCTAGAAGCGACTGATTGGCAGAAAACTAGAATAGAGAAAAAGATCACATTGGTACCACCGGCACTGGTGGTTGTTGATAGAATGTTGGACTCAGTCCCGTGTCCCTGACTGTCACAGGCCTCATCTGAAAAAGGACTACAGTCATACGTGTAACACCTACTTTATAGGCTGGTGGAGAGGCTTAGAGGAGGACATTTGGGCAAAAAGCATTTTGTAGGTTTTCAAAGAGGACAGCGTAAACGTCAGCTGCTCTGCTGACCTTGGGGTAAGCGTTGTGACCGTCGGTCGCTGTCAGACACACGTTAGGTGCCATCCCCAGTGCCCGGCACACAGGTGTCACCTAGTCCACGCTGGTGGACAGACGTAGAGGACGGTTGTGCATCAGTGAGGGACACCAGCCAGGAGGTGCTTTTGGACTCCATCTCCCCTATCAGTTTGTTAGCGTTCTAGGGTCATTTGGGTTCTTTTTGGACTTGAGTGTCGATTGGAAGCAACTGCTTCCCCCCAGCCTACTGTACTCTTGGGTTAATTTTAAAACAAACAAATGCATGAGCCTAACTCCTTTTGATATTGCTCCTTCAAACAAACGATGTTGCCACCCTGAGCACTGGTGCGGGTGCGTGGATCCTGCTCCGTCTGCCCTGTGAGTATGAGGCCTGCAGCAGGTCAAAAGCCTCCGGGGGTCGGTGACGCGCTACTGCTCACATCTTCCCCAAGTGCCCCTTAACTGACGGAATGTCCTCTCTGCAGATTGTGAGCAGGCTGGTTCAGATTCGGGACTATATTGCCAAGGCTAGTTCCATGCGGGATGATCTGGTAGAGAAAAATGAGAGATCTGCCAATGTTGAGCGCCTCACACACCTTATAGATCATCTTAAAGAACAAGAAAAGTCCTACCTGAAATTTCTGCAGAAGATGCTTGTGAGTGTTAGACCTTTTCACCTTGATCCACTTTCAGTCCTGCGCCAGCAGGACTCATGACCTGGTGCGTGTTCTGACGGCATCATGGGAGCGGTGTGTTATGTTCAAGACCGAGTGCCCCCATTTCATTTCTGTTGTCCCTTTTTAATAGCTGTATGATTGATACCACTACAATATTTCAGGCTAGAGAGAAGGAGGAGGACCATGTTCGGACCGTAGATTCCGCTGTGGGATCTGGTTCTGTAGCTGAGAGCACATCGCTAATCATAGATGTGCAGTCTGGGGCTTCCGACGCCACGGTAAGCTGCCTTTCAGTCCTTACGCTGCTGGGGATGAAGGTGCCAATTCTTGGTGCGTTTAATGAGTGGTGACGTGGGTAGGAGCACACAGGCATGCCCAGATGTGGTACCGTAGGGAGCACTCAACGTCCGAGCAGTTGGGCTTCCCTTTAGTTAGCAAAGCTTAGGGACGCCATTCTAATACAGTCTCCTCATTGAGCAGCAGTTTTATCATTTCTGAAAAGAGGACGCTGTGGGAAGAAATCATTGCAGTCTCTTATTGTGGGGGGGGGGTCGGGGTCAGGGTCGTCGAGACCCAAAGTCCCCCGCGTTTTGGACCTTTCAGTCCCCATCTGTTCAGGGTTAGCCTGGCCACTCACGGAGCCCAGTGAGCCCCAAACCCTGCGGATCAAGCTGCTTTACCCAGTGTTGAGGGAGCTGGCTTGGGTACTGATAGATCACAGGGGGAGATTGGACTCAGATGTTCCAGAAAAACAGGGGCTACCAAACACGACTTTTCCTTGGAGAGAGGAGGGATTTCAGAAGCTTTGGGCTGCGAGTAGAGTAGACTGACTAGTTAGACTCAGAAAATGGGAGAGCACCGGGCCCGCCTCACCGTCCCATGGTGACTCTGAGGGTCCAGTGACGTGATAGCCGCACAGCTCTCAGCACGGGCCTGGCACACAGTAGGCGCTGTAGAACTGTTCTCTATTATTCTTACCCAGGAGCTGGTCTTTGCTCAGACTCAGTAGTTGAGCTTCGTCAGTGAAATGCCCCTGGAGAGAGAAGGGAGCTCACAGAGTAGTGACCGGGGGTTTCTGGGGGGGTATGGGGCAGGGTTTGAGGATAATGTACAAGGATCACTGGCATTAGGAAGTGAGTTACATTTCCTTTGCCTGCTTCATCTGTTATGTTCACCCCGAGGAAACTACCTGCTTTCCCCTTCTTTCAGTTATTTCCACAGCAGCCATGGTACGACTGGCTGCTTGGACAAGTTGAGCAGATCAGCTGGAAGGGGGCTTCAGCGGAGGGAAATTTATTCTTCCAGCTAGCACAGATTTGCCCCAGAATCAACCTTCCCACTTTATTTATTCTGCCAGTTGTGATCAGGGGTGGGGGATGGAGATATGTTCATCAGGATGGTGGTGGAGAGGTGGTAGCTCCCAGTCAGAGGATGGTGAGGGGATGGGCAGTCAGACATTGCCTGGGCAGGGGTCACTCGGCTGCCTATCAGAGCTCAGCCGGTATTCCGGCAACTTGAGGAGCACTCTGCCTCTGGGAGGGCAAGGCCTGGGCAGGGTGGGCTGGTGAGTGGGTGGGCCTTGGTTATGAGGCTGCCTGTAAATATGTGTTAAGAGAATTAATGCACTACACTATTTAATAAAGGAAGCATCTTGTAGTCTGAGAATTCGGCCCTGCATTGAGGACAAACTAGGGGATTCAGCTTCCCAAGGACAGGTTTCAGACATTGACGTCCCTACAAGTCCCAAAGGGAAAGGTGACAGACCTGCTCAGAGTGACAGGGAGATATGGCCTGATAGGAAGTATAGCCAAGGACGTGGATTATCTGCAAAGGTACAGCTGCTGCGCCACTCCCGGAGCGGAGTGGGGATGGGTGTGGGGGGCGGGGCGGGGGGGGCCCTCTCTCGTGTGCCTGCTTTCTTGACTTTCTATGGCCATCCCCGTTTCCAGTGGTCCCTGTTATTAACCTCCAGGATTTGTGAGGGTTTTTCACATTGCATGAACCTAAAGATTAACCACTTTAGCCCATCCCCTCTCTTCATACGGAGGGCTCTGCCTCGAAAATATTTTCTGAGCTTCACAGCTTAGGAAGAGTTGCCTCTTGGACGTGTCTGATGGTCTTGGATTCCAAGTGAAGGTCGTGTTGGGGGAGCGGTGGTGGGGACTGGCCCTGGGGTAGCAGATCAGGTTTCCTGGAGCTAGCAGGACTGAAAAGACAGCGGATCATTTTTTCCCTGCCTTTTGTCAGAAGGAAATGTTTTTAGTGTTTCCTTTTGCTTATTTATGTGTTAGTTGAAAGTTCTTTCAACTCATTATTCCATAGTCAGATTGAGTGCTGGGATCATTTCCTCCAGAGTTTTTCACAAATGTCCTCTGTTTTAAATTTGCCATGTTTGTCCTTAATGCCCATAGGGTTCAAAGATAACTGCCCCTCCAAGTTAGCCCCGTGGAAAGTAATTCAAGGTAGTATGTGTCTAATTTGACAAGAAATGTTATTTTGTAAGACTTTCTTCCTCAGGGCAAAACTTCTTTTGTTTGCTGAGAAGTATTTCCTTCTTGTTTCTATGGGATGGGGATTAGACCTGTGATTTCATTTTTGTTGAAGACTCCCCCGCAGGCGGCACCTTCTCCCACGGCGATTGGGCATCCCCAGCCACCTCGCTGAAGAGTCTTCTGAAGTCGCCTGAAGCCCTGTGAGAAGGGATTTGCTCATGGCCAGTGTGTGTCAGGACTTGAACCCAGATCCAGGCTGGCTCTCTATGCACAAGACCGTGCTTGCTGCCTTTCTTTTATTCGTGTGATGACTTTAAAGGCCAAACCAGATGGCTTAACCGGCATTGTGTTGGTGGCTTGGTGGACTTGTGTAGGAATTTGGAGTTGGTGATGAGAGAATACCGGCTGGGGAGAATGTGCCAGGCGGCTCTTTGATCTGTAGCCCAGCAAAAGAGGGAGGGCAGCGGGGCCTGGGAAGAGCGATGCTGGCAGAAAGTAGACTGGGAAAGGAGACGCAGGGGGGGCGTAGGCCGTGGGCCCCAGCGTGGATGATCTTGGGGAGACCTGGGGACACGTCCTTCAGTTACTCAGAAATACCATTCTGAGAAAGGGCCCTAGGTTGTACCAGACTGACTGCCAGAGTGTGTACGTACACACCCACCCCCCCCACACACACACACCCCACACCACATACACACATAACACATCCACACACCACATCCACACCCCACACACACAACACATATGCACACACCACACCACCTCCACACACACCACATAACACGCCACACCAGATACACACATAACACATATACACACCACACCCCCCCACACGCATCACAGACACACACCCATACACACCCCCCCCACACACATACACACATACCACATAACACCCATATACATGCACATACACCACACCTACACACCATACACATGCACATACACATACCACATACCCCCCCTCCACATACACACATGTACACACACCGCATACACAAATACCACATATACACACATACACATCATATGTACACACACCACATACACACCACATGCATACATGCACACTACACATACCATGCACGCATACTGTGCACACATACATATGACACATACCACATACTACACACGCATGCCACTTACACAAATCCCCATACACACTACATACAACAATGCATGCACACCACATACACAGACTACACATACCATGCACGCACACACCCCCACAACATGCACACACATACATACACACGACACAACACCACATACTACACACGACACATACACAAATACCACATACACATACTACACATACATCACACACATGCATACACACACGCCATTAAAGGCTCCTGTTAGAGAAGTGTTGTATTACTTATTGCTTCATTTCCCTAATTCATGCTCCTAAGAGGTGGTTAAGCAGATAGTGGCAGCTGCAGTCACAAATTCTAGTCTGTGAATGTTATTTGCCAACACGTCTGTAGGCAGTGTGTTTGGTTTAATTTACTGTTTTTATTTGATGCCTTGCCAGATGCTGCTTTGGCTAAAGTATAAGCTAAATATAAAGCTAAATTTGTATTTAGGTCAGATGATTCAGTTGTTTTCTGTTTGCTCTTCTCTTATCCTAGTTAAATACAATTTTTCACAGCAATCTCCTTCTGAGATGCGATATGGCAAAACAGTTGCAGAGAGCTGGCCGTGTTGGCCGGAAGGCCTGGTTCCAGGCCTGCCCCGACACACCCACCCCGGGCGGGCAGCTAGCGGAGCCTCTCCAGGCTCCCAGGTGGCTTTCAAAGACTGATGTAAATTCTGGAGTGTGTTCTGGTCTGCTTTAGTCAAGGACGTTGTCCCCTGGGCCCCTATACCCGTGAAACCCCAGAGAGCTGAGTTCTTCTCCCTCCCACCCCCAGTACGTTAATTGAAAAAATAAACTTTGTATTTCTGGATTTGCTTCCGTTTCCCTCCAGTTGTCCAGTTTTAGCGTTCCTAATGAACAATGCCCACTCTGCTTTATTATGTGCGCCCCACATTAGTCAGAATGATTTGTAATTCTTAGAAGAATGACATCCCTAATGCCAGACTCACCTCTTGTCCATTTCTTTCCTCTTCCAACTGTCTCTCGTGGGTCGTTCCCCCCAGGGTCCCCTTTTCAAATGTTGTAGGATTCTGTCATTAAGAAGGGAAAAGGAAAATCAGGATTCTACCAGAGACCATTGATCAGGTTTAATTCACGGCAGCTTAGTGACTGCAGAATGTTGGCTTAGCACCTGGAAGACCTGGGTTGGAGCATCACTTGGACCCTACCTGGTCGTGTGCGCCTGAGCAGCCCCCTTCTCAAGCGGCAGAGGAGGTGCTGACAAACAGGCTGTTTTTTCCCAAGTCTACCCTCGATTGTTACCCCTAGGTTTTAAGTGGGGCTTAAACCGGGTGAGTTACCGGGATGTTGGAGAACATTCATCCCCCGCCTCTTGGATCAGTCTCTTCACCGTGACGACGTGTATAGCATGGCACAGTCCTATGGCACCATACCATCTCCTTTGGGCAAGCTTTGTAATTCTGGAACTTTGCAGCTTTTCAGTTTGTCCATATCTCCGTTCAGTGTTCTTCCTTCCCTCACCTGCTGGTCAGTTCCCTCAAAGTCTTCTAGGCACCTGGAGACTGAAGAAAAGAAAACAAACCAGCCCAGACATCTTTGGGAAGTAGATGCTTTACATACGGATGAAATTGCCCAGACCTCAGAGCTTTACCTACAGCTCTTGTAATGACAGGCTCAGTGTAGTCTGGATCGAGAAGAAAGTGTCAGCCTAAGGACGACCTCTCTCCAATCTCTAGAACACCAGCCTTTGTATTACCTTGGCCACAACAATTATTTTTTCTTTATAGCAAAAGTTAGCAGATTTTTGTTTTGTTTTGTTTTGTTTTGTTTTTGTAAAAGCAGTCTTTGTATTGTCCTTCCAATTTGAAGAAGCCTCTCCAGCATTGTAGAAGGAGCCGGGACAGCCCTCTGCCCGTCGGGTCCCTCTGAAGGCTTTTGCCTCAGTTCTTGGTATTGTCTTTTAACTTCTGACCACACTCGCCTTTGTACTTTGGTGTGACTCATCCTGGTTCACTGTGGGCTTGAATGGTCCTTGAAATGCTTGGCTTCAATATCTCTAACAGTCACTGAAGTGTGCTCCTTGTGAGCTACGCGTATTACATTTCCATGGAGTAGTATCCACTCTTACAAAGCACAGAAGAAGAGAGCAATGAATCCGTATCTGTAGGGCTGGCCCTCCACTGGCCAGACTAAGAAAGGGCCCTGGGGTAAGCACTCCCTTTGGTTTCCTTTGGCCCTGGTCGAAGCACATGCCTGGTCGTTGCCGCCAACAGCAACCCCGTGAAGCCGTGTAGGCGTTGTTACTCACACTTTCGGCTCGGGGGCATCGTCGGAGCTCTGCATTTTCCTGAAGGCGGCTGCTCCCTCCTCCGGAGGAGCCTCAAGCCAGCCTCTTGAAGGGCCGCAGGTCTCTCCCAGGAGGCTTGTGGCCTTCGTGCCTCCCACATGGCGTTGGATGCCAGCAGCGGCACGTGGAGGACCTCGCCGTCGGAGGGAACGCCTTCTTCAGCACGAGCTCTGCTCTGGCGAGTGTCAGCCTGCTTGTTAGGGGGCTCGCGAGCAGAGGCTTGGGATGTGTGAAAGGATGCGCTGTGTCCAGGACAAGCCTGCAGGGCCGCCCTCCTTGACTAAACCAGTTGTCGTCACATCAGCAGACGCGCACGGGGATCTTGTGTTTGCTCCGTCTTCCATCTGTTGTCACTTTACCACGCCTGCCTCGGTTTGCTCAGCTGTCCAAGGGCGTCCTGCCAGGGTTGTGGTGAGGATCCAGGGAGGTCATCTTTGTAGAAGCTCTGAGCCTGGGGCCGGGGCCAGGCGCTGCTGTGGGGGATGCTCTGCGGACGCTTGTTCCCCTCACCCTTCCGCCCTCCCCCGCCTGTGATGGTAGACGTGGAGCCGAGTTGGTGCTTCCTGCAGGAAAGGAGGCAGAGAGGTTTTTGTGGCTCCCTTTTTGTCCTGCGTTGACAAGGCCCAAGATTTCTCCCCACCCCTTTGGTATGTCCCCCTCCTTCTCCTAGCCTTTGGATCACTCCTCTCCACTCAGGAGCTGCAGGCTCACAGACTCAGACCGCACTGCTTCCAGCCTTCCCGTTTTACAGATGAGCAGCTGAGGCAGGCAGGGTCACCAGAGTAGACCCCCGAGCTCCTTCTCTTGTACTGCCCCGCCTCCACTTCCCAGGCAATTGGACCGCTGCCAGCCTGCTAGTGGTGAAAAGAGTTTGTTTTGTAACCTCTGCTAATCTCTTCGTTTTTATTCGTGGACTTCCCTGATTTCATCCTTACATGCTGTCATCGTCATCGTCACCAGACATTTATTAAGCGCTTCCTGTGTTCCAGGCACTGTGCTCCGCGCTGGGGATGCAAAGAAAGGCACCGATAGGGGGCGTGCCCTCCAGGAGCTCTCCCATCTCATGGGGGAGCCGAGGCGTGCATCGCAATGCAAACACGCATTGGTGCAGAGTAAGTGAGAGGCGATCCTCGAGGGAGGGAAGGCAGAGGGGGAGCTTTGCTTCTCTCGTCTCTGCCCAGCTGGCTTGTTCTTTGCCTCTTTGTCCTGGGCGGTAGTGGGCATTAGTGCGTCTGCTGCATACAAGATGGAGCCGCAGCCCATGAGATGCTGCTTCTTGTACAGTCAGCTCTGCCAGTTCGTCTCTCTGCAGCCCATCCTTCCTTTCACTGCAGCTTCCTTCTTCAGTTCTTCCTGTTGACCAGACCCCTTCGTTTCCTCCAGCAGCGTGTGTGGACCCTTAGACAAGGCTCCACGTTTGGGCTGCCTGATAACTGTGGAGCTCAGCCCCCTCTGCCCTCTTCTCCTCTACCTTGCCCACACAGGACCAGGGGCCATTTTATTTGAGGGAGACTTCATCCCCCAGTGGTGGGCCACGCTTCTGCTAGTTGTGAGACTCTGAAATGGGCCTTGAAAGCAGGCTCCTCCTGGTTCTGAGCCTTTCCAGCCTTTGCTGTGCTGGCCCAGCCTTCAGGAACCCAGCATCATCCCCACCCCACGAGTGATCAGAAGAAGGTGGGGCCTGTGGGATGCTTTTACAAGTGACCCTGAGGAGGGAGTTTCCAGCAGGAATGCCCCAGGTGGAGGGGAGAGACATGGCAGCCCCTGGGCATTGGCCTCAGAAAATTCTTGTGAGCCAGACTCTGAACGAGCAGCCTTCTCTGCTGCCTGAGCCCCGGTGTGGAGAAATGGAAGGTGTACAACAGCATCATCTAGTTATGCTTCTGGGGCGTGGACCTCCAGAATGTGAGTTGTTCCCTAGGCAGAGGAGCCATCTGATGGTCATTTGTAGAGGATTTCCCTGAGATACTCTTCTCATCCGCTGTAGTGACCACAAAGGCTGGTTCAGTGCGGGGAATCTTCCAGTAAAACAGAGAACATCTCTGTTGGATCAGAGTATACTATGGCCTTGATTACCACCCCAGCTACCAGAGGTTCTTTTTGGGGTCTGACTTCTCTTTCCTTCTCTTTAGTCGTTTCTGGTCCTTTCTCCCCACTCACATGTGTTTTCTATAGTTCTTAGTAAAAATTGAAGGCAAGTGTAAAGCATAGGAGGGGGTGGCAGCTTCTTCCTTTGGCCTTCAGTCTGGAGGGCACGTCCGGGTAATGCAGAGCTTCTCCTCATGCTGAGACAAGTCAGACTTGTTAGGCAGTAGATACACGCGGGGCAACCAATGGCTGACAAGAAGGAATGGGGTTTTGTGTGGTCAAGTTACACAGAGCAGGCAGGGTTGGAAAAGGCAGAGTGGGTCCATGGAGGCCACCCTCATTGGCTGGCTGTCACTTGCCTGTTCTCTCTTCCTCAGTCCTCTTGGCCTTGATTACGTTACCAGAACGTCCCTGACCCAAACTCTGCTGACGAGGCAGGAGTGTTCAGCGCTGACACAGTTATCGCTAACTGCCTCCAAGTCCCCATGGTGTATACAGATAGATACAATATAGCTCTCAGAAGTATAAAATGGGTGGGATTATCTGTTTCATATGCTGCTTTTCCTACCCTGTCATTGTGGAGCTCACATAATGGTGGACTCCTTTTCAATGGAGTCCTGATACAGAAGGAAAGAATCTCAGCAGCATAGGAGGACTTCAGAGACTTCTTACCAGCCAGGAATTAATGAGGGGCTTGCATTCCAGAAGACTATAAATTGTAGTTACTCTCACTTACTTGGGGTGTTCTTTCTTCAGGTCCTGACAAGTATGTAAATGTTTGTGAATGGGAGTTGGGAGGGACAGTCACACAAAAGTGACTTTCTTTTCTTCTCCCTGATTTCTCCAGAGAACCAAAACATGTCTGTAAACTAGTTCAGCGCAGTTTGACTTCACAGAGAGAAGGTATATTCAGTGAACAACTTAGGTTCTCTTTTGCAAACTCTTTAGAGTTCCTTATGCAGAAAACCTTAACCCTATAAGACTTTTTGGGGGTGGAAATTTAGAGTTTACTAAATGTAAATTCAAATTTAGGAGAAAGTTTCTAATAAAAATGTTAAGTATGAGGCATGTTATATTCTATTTAAGATAACTCACTGAAAAATATTATATCAGAAAGTCATTGATAAAAAAGTCCATTGAAATTTGTGCCACCGTTTTCTGACTTGCACATTAAGCTGTTATATCTTTTTAGGGGCCTCATGCTTAAGTATGTGACTTTAAGAAGTCATGTTTTTCCTCTGGTAGGGTTGCCTTTACTTTTTTCTAACTAGAGTTTTTGGAATGAAATGTAAAATCTGTTCGTTAGTTTTAAGTAGGATAGGGCAGTCGCATAGATACTACCTTTGGGCAGGACCACACCGAGGTTAACCTTATTGGCATTGGTGAGAAACTGGCTTCTCTGAAAGTGGGGCGTCAGGGTCAGTGATGTGATCCTTATTTTGAGAGAAAAAACTTAAAGGTCAGTGACTTACCTTAAAATGGAGCATTGCATATTTCTAAGCTATTTCCATAATCTAAGGGTATCTACCATATTAATAAGATAAAATTAATAATTGAAGTTCAGTGTAATTGAGTTAAAACTTTGCCATATAAAAATGTCAAGCCAGTCCTTCCTGTCTTTGGTTAGGAGTGCCCTGAGTATTTCTGAAGGGTTTGGGGAGGTTTTGGTTTTGGTGCCAGCTGAAGAGGAGGTGTCATAATGTGGCTTGTCTGAAAGACATGGTGCTGGGGCACTGCCCAGATGTGTGCTTTTGTGGTCCTTCTCTGATCACGTATGCCCTCTCTCTGTTCCCCTGAATGTGTCTTCTCTCTCTTCCTTGTCCCCGTCCTGTGTTCACTGCCTTCATAGTGCGTGCTCTGTTTCTGGAGCCATTCAGATCTCACACTCTTACTCCAGACTATGAAAAGTTTGTTCTGAGGGGTTTATCTTTCACTGGTGTAAAGATGTGGTTGTGTGTCTGGGGGTGCAGTCGAACACTTGGACAACTCAGAATTAAGTATGGGTTGATTTATTCCCCAGGCCAGAGATCCTCAGCAGCAGCCAAGGGAAGAGCTGGAGAGCTTGAAGAAACAACATGATCTGTTAAAAAGAATGTTACAGCAGCAGGAGGAGTTGAGAGCTTTACAAGGAAGGCAAGCGGCTCTCCTGGCTCTGCAGCACAAGGCTGAGCAAGCCATCTCTGTGATGGATGATTCCGGTAAGCCAGGGAGAAGTGGGGAGAAGCGCAGTGTTGGAGGCTGGCCCCCATAACTGGGCTCCTGATCTCAGGGCTGAGTCAGAGACCTGCGCCCAACTCACTGTGTCCTCTGCTTAGCTAGAAAAGGTGTCCCTAGCACCTCCTGGACAGTGCGGCGTGAGCTGTGCCCAGATTTGTGCACCCTCTTGTAGGGCTGCGATCCTTAGTGCTCGTACTCCCACCTTGTATACTCACCACTTGTCCATAGCTGAGGCAGATCAAAAGTTCCTTGGGACTGAACAGAGTGGCCACAGTCTCTGATGTCATGGATGTATCCTCAGGTATTAGGTCATAATATCAAGTAGTTCAGTCAGAAAAATCAGATTCTTCTCATTTTCATAGCACCTCCCTTGTTAAATGTTAAGGGTGGTTATGTAGTTCTGATTCTTTTCTCTTTGACCAAGGGCTCGCACCTAGGTGATGACAGTGTCAGAGGAGAGAAGGGGGTATATTCTACAAAGGTAGAAATGACAGGATTTGGCAACCAGTCAGATTTAGGAGGAATCGTGGGGGACACCCAAGTTGTGAGCCTGGGGGACTAGGAGGATACTGTTGTCTTCTACAGTAATAGGGAAGGGATGAGGGAGAAGTGTCGAGCGGGAAAGAGAACGAGTTCTGTTTTGAACGTGTTGAGTTTAAAGTGTCTACTGGACACCCAGTTTGAGATGTTTAATGGGTGGTTGGAGAGCTGGAGATCTCCTGAGATCTAAGAGACTGGGGATCATCTGAGAGGTTAAGACTTCGTAAGTACATTGAGGACAATCTTGGGAGCTGATGAGATCCCCAAGTAAAGCAATGTGGAGGGAGAAGAGAAGAGGGCCCAGGGCAAAGCCCTGAGGAACACCTGTGGTTGGGGGCATGATGTGGAGGAGGATCCAGCAAAAGAGACAGAGAAGGAGCCATCGGAGGAGAGCCAGGAGAGAGGCACGTCCTGAAAACCTAGAGAGGAGAGAGGGATCGCCACGGAGCAGGAGCTGGTCACTTTGGTGAGAATGGATTCGGTGGAGAGAGAGAGCAGGGGTGGGGGGCTCAAGTGAGGACTTTGGAGAACAGAGTAGATAGGGGTATGTTTGTAGGCAGCAGAGAAGGGGCCAATGCACAGGCAGAGTTGGGAGATGACTGAACACATGGGCGAGTCAATGAACCTCCGTTGACTTCCGTGGGACCAAGCCGTCTCTGGGGTCCTTTTCATTTCCTGATCCCATGATTCTGTAGTATCAGAGAGTAGAAAATAAATTTAAAGAAGCTTGTCTCTGATTTTAAAAGTAAAGCGAAATCATGAAATGTGCAATGTATTTTATTGTGGATTTTTTATTCTCATAAAGAGTTGTGGCATAGATTTAAAATCAAGTTCTCCATGTCTCTTAGAAATATCTTGGAGGAAACTTGTGAATAAAAAACATAATTGTATGTTGTTATTGTTGGTAAGGATAAAAATAATAAGGTTTAGAAAACCCTTTCTTTCCATCCCCAGATCTCTTCAGTGTCAGCATTCCCCCTCTCCCTGCCAATCACCACCTGGGTAGGGAGCTCTCCCTTTTTAGACTTTGCACAGAGGTTCAACCCTCCCTGTTGGTATGGCTTCCACGTGCTGCTGCAGCCTGAGTACCTAACCCTGAATGTGCGCCACTTGCTGCTTTGACTCCAGGGCAGGCCCAACTCCTTTGCCAGTCAGACGTTTCCTCGACACTGACCTTTAGCCCTTAGATCATCATGGACAGAAGGCTGCTCCAGCCTATTGAACGTGTTGTACGTGGCTTTTTTTTTTGCCTTTGGGTCATCTGTAGCTTGGATTCTGCAGAGACTAAAGTTGTGAATCATGAAACAACTCCTGGGGCAGTGAGGTGGCACAGTGGATAGAGCACCAGCCCTGAAGTCAGGAGGACCTGAGTTCAAATCTGGCCTCAGACCAAACACTTGACACTTACTAGCTGTGTGACCCTGGGCAAGTCACTTAACCCCAACTGCCTAAAAAAAATAAATAATTTTTTTTTAAAAAGCCACCTACATGTGGGCGAAAGAAGATGAAACAGCTCCTCAAAGCATCATCAGAAACGCTATGTTGAAGTGACCAGTTTAGGAGAAGGGAGCGGTGTACCTGACAGGAGTGCCTTGAGATCCTCAGATGCAGCCCAAATGTCTGGCTGGGGCCTCAGTCCCAAGAAGCCCTTTTCCATTGGGACCTGCCCAAGACTCCCTCTAGAAGTAACAGGGTCAAACTCAAACCTCGACGGCCTCTGTGGGCTGCATGTGGACTTAGGAAGACACATATTCTATCTGTGTTCTGTTGTATTTTTATTTGTTAAACAATTCTCCATTCCCTTTTAATCTCTTTGGGGGCACTCTGAGGCCTTAAGTGAGTGGGATGGCATTGAGCAAGGCTGTTTGTCCCCGTTGGTGCCCAGGGAGGAGCCAACAGCAGACACGTCGCTTGGCCCTCTTCAGCCAGTCTTTTGGCTGTAAAGATTTGGACCGTTTTCCTGGTTCAGGAGCCTCTGATGTGCTGGGTCCCGGGCACCCGAAGGAAGGAGAAAGAGCGGGCTCTGCCTCAAGGCACTTTTGGGGTGCTTGGGGATGCCCTCTGTACATAGAGGACGAAGTACAAGCTGCTTTGGGGAGGGCGAGTGCACTGACGAGCGGAACCAGGAAAGGCTTCCACCATGAGCCAAGCCTTCAAGGAGGAGGCAGACACGAGTGGGATGTGAACCGCAGGTGTTGGCCTGGAGACAGGTGGGAGAAACGTGTTGGGGGATGTGGCGTCAAGTCAGTTGGTCAGGACTGGGGTGTTGAGGAGGCACATAGCATAAAGTCTGCACAGGAAAGCTGAAGCCAAGACAGCGATGTGTCCAGGGGTTCATGGCTATTTCTAGAGGCACGAGGGGCCCTCAAGATTCCTGAGCAGCAGAATGGCCTGGGAAGACCTTTCCTGTCAGGGTGATTCTCGTGAGTGTGGGAAAGAAAGGAGGGGAGAAGCGCATGAGATTATGGCGTGGGTGTGGAAGCGAGAAGACCTGGCACTGGATCGAATGTTGGGGCGGAGGGAGAGGGAAGATAGGGTCGGGCGTGACTCCAGGATTGCACACCTGGGTGACTGAAAGAATGGCAGCCCCACTAACAGGATTTTTGAGTCAGGGTAGGTTTAAAAGGGAAGGCATGGAGCTGCAGTGGGATGTGTGGGAAGAAATGCTGGCAGGCACTTGACCGCTGCCTCCTACTTGGTCCTCTGCTTCAAGGCTCTCTCCCTCTTTGATCCGTGTGCTACCCGTCTGCTGTAGTGATTTCCTCTAGTGCGTGTCTAGCCACGTTGCTCCCCTGTTTAGTAAGCCCCAGTGGCTTCCTGGTGCCATCCCCTCTCTGCAGCCTTTGGCACTCGACTCTGCCTGCTGTCCCCCGTCTCTGGGCCGTGTCACAGGCCAAGCCTAGGTGCAGAAAGCCTGATGGAGATGACTCTTGAAGGGAACAGGGGAGAAAAGGCAACTCACTGTCTTCCGTTGTAAAACCCAAGCTTGCATGGTACTCGGCAGAGGGCGATGGGCACGGGGAGAGAGCCTCAGTCTGGACGATAAAAGGATTGCTCTGCTGGAGTGAACCATTTTGTCAGTCAGGAAGCGTTTATGTCGTGCTGACCATGTGCCCGGCACCATGCCAGGTGCAGGGTTACAAGGACGAAGAAGAGCGGCACATCCCTTACAGTCCAGTGGGGGAGACGGCGTAGGAAAGGAAGCTCGAAGCAGGGATGGGGGCGTGGGAGAGAAGTCAGAGGGACGCAGCCGACTGGGCCTGGGCCTGGGCCTGCTGCACCTGCTGAGACTCGGGGGCAAGGCCTCGGGTGCCCCCCCGCTTTGTATGCCCCCCAGCCCCAGCAGGGTGCTCCATGGCGTCTGACTGAGCATTGGTCCGGTGTCTGAAGGGCAGCATGCCCAGCAGCAGCAGGAGTCACCTGCTGGAAGCTGCTCTTTGGTCATGAGCTCCTGCTGTGTACCTGGCACTGTGCTGGGGGTTGGGTGTCCGGCTCAGCTGTGCCACACCCCATCATCATTTTGCTCATCTGTAAAATGGGAATAGTTACCATTGTACCATCTCCCAGTTGTCGATCGAGTGAGATCACCCAGTTAGTGCACCGTGTACACACCAGCCGCTGCTGGTGTTGGTGAACAGTCACATTGTGAGTCTTGGAAGGCCAGGAAGGGCGCCCCTAGGGGCCTGGAAGGAGGGAGGGGCTCTTCCCAGTGTGTTCCTCCTCCTGTGGTCATGTGGACGAAAGGAGTTTTGTTGTTTGCTTTCTAGTTGTAACAGAAACCACGGGCAGCATATCTGGCATAAGTATAACATCGGAGCTCAATGAGGAGCTGAACGACCTGATCCAGCGTTTTCATAATCAGCTGCACGACTCTCAGGTATCCGTTCATGTCATACAGTGCAAATTATGTGGAAGTCTGCCTTCCTCAGGAAAATACTCCTTTGATTTGAAGGATAAGAATAATTGACTTCCCTTTGTGCCCCTGTGTGTTTGAGGTTTGTAGGGGGGGGCGGGTTGTTTTTTAAATAATCACGACTTGTCACATGCCATTTGGGGAGAATTTTAAGTCAGACTTTATAAAGATCTTCAGGAGAAAGTGTGTGCCTAACTTGAGCCTGTTTGGGGGGGTGGTGAAGGTGATTCTTGACAGGTAGGAGCAGTTGGGCTGCCCTGGTGCTGGAGTGATGGTGGAAGAGAAGGGACATGGAGTCACCAGCCCCTGCTCTGGGTATCCGAGTGGTCCTGGTGCCCGGGGCTGGGCATTCCCAACGTGAATACATGAAGGTTTCAACGAGTCCAGTGCCTGGGTTGTAGTCGTGGGTCATTCCACTTAGTGGTAGCCTTTGGCTCCCTCACAAGGGTTCACTTGACGGAGGCTACTCGTCCGCCCTGGGGCCTGTGATCTGTGTGTTTATGTGTAGGAAAACAAGCAAGCCAGAACATAACCTTACTTTATTCAGAGTAACTTCATGCTTGTTATAACACATGAACATGTATCTGAATAAGGATGCATGTATGTTTTTTTTCCTTTTTAAGGTCCCAGCTGTTCCAGATAATAGGAGACAAGCAGAAAGCCTTTCATTAACCAGGGAGGTTTCCCAGAGCAGAAATTCATCTGTCTCAGAACAGCTGTCTGATGAGAAAGTTCAGCTTTTTAGCAAAATGCGGGTGTTGCAAGAAAAGAAACAGAAAATGGACAAATTGCTTGGGGAACTTCACACGCTGCGTGATCAGCACCTGAATAACTCTGCTTGTAAGTACATCTAAGTCAGCCCCAGGGGCCTGACAGGATGGGGAGGCTTGGTCCCTGGTTGTCTTCAGGGGCTGCCAGGGTGGGGGGAGGGACAGGACGTCTTCCTAGCCCAAGGAATAGCTGTGTAGAAAAGTCTGCTAGACCTGGAGTCTACCCAGTCAGGTATTCATTTCTTTATTTGCTTAATTTTGGATTCTGTTTGATTTTGAGTTCCAAATTCTTCCCTCCCCCCACCCCCCGCCATTGCGAAGACAAGAAGTACAAAACCCATTATAAATGTGAAGTCATGTAAAACAAATTTCTCCATGCAGTTAGCCATGTTTCTTCCCCCTCCCCCCCCCAAAAAAAAGAAAAAGAGAAAACAGTCTGCTTCATTCAGCTGTCTGAGTTCATCATTCCTCTTTCTGGAGGTGGAGAGTAATATTTTGGAATTGCCTTAGATCCGTGTTTTGATCAGGGTAGCCAAGTCATTTGCAGTTGATATTGTACAAGATTGTTACTGTGTATGATGGTTTCCTGGGAAGACCTATATGAACTGATGCAAAGTGAAATGAGTAGAACCCGGAAACCATCCTCCTCATCATTTTTTTTTTAATTTATTTGTTTTTAACTTATATACTAAAACTTAAATACACAATAAGAAAGAAAAAGAAACATATTATAAACCTGCATATTAAAACTTAAATACAAAATAAGAGGAAAAGCCATGTGCACAGCAGAGCATAAAAGAGTATACAAAATAGACCACAATAAATTTCCAATTCAAGAAAGCCTATGTAATAAATACTGCACATTGTGTTCAGAGCTGCCAGCTTCTCTTTGCCTCCTTGTCAGTTTACTTTTGTTCTCTGCTGTGCATTTTTTACTTTGTTCTTTTCTCCCCCTTCTCTCCCCACTCTCCCAAGAAGGCTACAATTAAGCACAGATACATTTTCATATATATGTGTACACATACATTCACACACATAAACATATATACAGGCATGTGCACGTGCATACACTTATATACACCTTTACTTAGATATCTGTAAACATACTCTCATGTAGACATAGGCATTCATATCCATCTATGTAGGACCGTACTATACTGTTTCTCTGAGGGTGGATAACATCTTCCTTCATAAGTCCAAGTCTTCCCATATTTTTCTAAGTCCACCAACTCATCATTCCCTAAACACAGCAATCTTCCAACCATATATGGTCTAGTTATTTTAAATAGTCCAAAATGGTATTGATTAATATGGCTGACATATAGTGTAGTTTTTCTTCTTTTTCTCTTTTGATTAAATCTATTTGAGATTTAATTTTGAGATCATGATTACTACTGCAGCTTTTTTTCCCGAATAGATTTTTTTTTTTTTTTGCAAGGCAATTGGGGTTAAGTGACTTCCTCAGGGTCACACAGCTAGTAAGTGTCAAGTGTTTGGTCTGAGGTCGAATTTGAACTCAGGTCCTCCTGAATTCAGGGCCAGTGCTCTGTCCAGTGCACCACCTAGCTGCCCCGCCAAATAAATTCTACTCGTAATCTTTATTTTTTGTTTGTGTATATCTCTTATTTCCTATCCCTCCTGACTCCTCGACTTTACTTCTACCCCCTACCTTGCCCTCCTGTTACTTAACCTACCCCCCTCCAAAGGTCCCTTCCTTATCCCTTTTCTGTTAATCTAAACACCCTTCTATACCCCCCCATCCTATTCCCTCACCCTCATATTTCTTTATACATTTAGAAGACTCTTATACCCTTTTTTTAACCCAGATGTGATGTGAGGAGGGTTGTTTCTAAAAATCCCCCCCGTCCCTTTAGCCTTTTCTTTCTTTCTGAATTTAGGACACTTACATTCTTCTAGGTGTATACGTATTGTTCGCTCTTTAAACCATTCCCAGTGAGAGCAGGCTTTCAGAACCACCAGCCCTCCTCCCCTACCTAATTCCTGTGTCACTTTTTCCTCTCGCTTCTCATTTGTAGAAGATCATTACTGTTTTTGCCTTTTCCTAACCGGTTACTTTTTAGAATGACGTCACGCTTAGCTCTACCCCGTCTTTCTTTTGAACTACCCAATTACTAATTGACACATGTTTTACATTTTCTTGTATAAAAAGTAAACAATCTGTCCTTATTGAGTCCTTTGGAATGAGGATGTATACCTTATGTTTCTCTTGGATTTTGTATATCCAATTTTCTATTGAGTTCAGGTTTTTTTTTTGCAACAAAATCCTGAAAGTCTGGCAATTTGTTGAATGTTTTTTTTTTTTTCTTTCAGAACTATGCTTAACTTTGCTGGGTATGATGTTTTTGCTTACAACCCCAGTTCTTTTGCTCTTTGATATATAGTGTTACAAGACCTGTGGTCTTTGGGGGTCACCTGCTAGGTCTTATGTTATTCTAATTTTGACTCCACTGTATTTGAATTGTTTTTTTTTCTTGTTGCTCCTAACATTTTCTACTTGAGCTGGGCATTTCAGAATTTGACTATGCTATTCCTGTAGGTTTTCCTTATAGAATCTCTTTCAGGTGGTGATTGGTGGATTTTTTCTACTACTTTCCCCTCTTGTTATAATACTTCAGGACAGTTTATTTCTTGTGTCATTGTATCAAAATTCTTTTTTTGGACTTTTTGGTGAAGCAGTCAGGGTTAAGTGACTTGCCCAGGGTCACACAGCTAGTGCGTGTCAAGTGTCTAAGATCAGATTTGAACTCAGGTCCTTCTGACTCTATCTACTGTGCTACCTAGCTGCTGCTGAGATTCTTTTTTTTGATTGTAGCTTTCAGGTAGTTCGATTACTCTTGTTTTCTCTTCTTGATCTGATCTCCAGGTCCCTTGTTTTTCTTATGAGATGTTTCACATTTTCTTCCATTCTTTCATTCTTTATACTTTGTTTTATTATTTCTTGGTCTCTTATAACTTCACTGGCTTCCCTTTCTCCAATTCTGATTTTCAAGGAGTCGTTTTCTTCCTTGAGGATTCTGGATCTCCTTTCCAGTTGACTGACTTTCTTTTCATAATCTTCTTGTTTTTCTTGGCTTGTTCTTTTTTTTTATTTTTCTTAGTGTCTCTCATTTGATTTTTAAAGTCTTTTTTAAGTTCTTCTGTGAATTCTTTTTGGACAAGTGACCGTTTAACATTGGGGTGGAAGAGGGTTTTTTTTGCTTCAGTGTCCTCCTCTGAAGATGAACCCCATTTCTGTATTCCCATAGTTGGGTTCTTTCTCTTTTGGCTGCTCATTTCTTTTAAAATAGCAGTTTGTTATTATAATCACCTCTAGTCCTAGGGTATGGGGGTTGGTGCCTCTGGCCTCAGATCCTCCTTCAGTTCTCTTCTCTGGCCTGGAACTGAAACCAAGACTTCTGCGCTCCTCTAGGCACCCACAGCTAGCAGTGTCCCCCTGCTGCTTCTGCCCTCACTGGCATGTGCTGGTTCCTTCTCGCCCAGGGCCTGGTGTCCCTTATCAGCAAAGGTTCCCTTGATCCTCCCCCACTCAGACACCTGACTCCCACACTGCCCGGGAGGTGAAAATTCATGTGGCTGGGGCTGAGGAAGCCTTCCAAGCCATCTAGCCCCAGCAGAACTAGCCTGGAGGTGTTTACACTTCACAGGGACCAAACCTGGGTCCTTGGATTGGATTTTTCTTCGCATCTTCTCCAGTTGTCCCAGGAGGCCCACTATTCTGCTTCAACTCTTGGTTATTTTTACTGCTCTGCGTTTGCCCTGACATGCTGTTTTGTCTTGTTTGTGGTGGAACTCTAGAGAACTTGGAATTTTCTGAACCACTCTGCCATCTTTCCCTTGTCATTTCTTATAGCACAATAGTATTCCTCCACAATCACATACCATCACTTGATCAGCCACCCCCTCTCTTTCACCACAAAGAGAACTTCTATAACTATTTTGGTGCAAATAGGTCCTTTCTCTTTTTTCTTTTTTGATCTCTGTGTAATACAGACCTAGTAGTGGTATTGCTGGGTCAAAGGGTATACACAGTTTTATAGTTCCACAGTGTTCTCCAGAATGGTTGGATCAGTTCACAACTCCACACACAGTGCAGTAGACATTTATGAAGTTCCTACTCTGTACCAGGTACCATGTTCCTCCTGGCTTTTTCACTACCGAACTCTGATCTTCAGAAGGTTCTTTTGCCTCTCAGGATCTCTGCATTTGGATAAATAAAATGGCCTTGGGACAGGGTGGGTAATAACATCACACATTCCTTTTCCACGATGGGTAGGTGGGTGGGTGGAATTCCTCCCAAAGGTGAGAGTGATGTTGACTTATAACGCAGATCGCTTGGCGCGTCTCATGGTGCCAGAGTTGGGGCTCAGAGTAGCGCAGACCTAGAACTGAAGGGCCATCTAGTTCAGCCCCGCCATTTTGTAGATGGAAACTGATGCTCAAAGAGTTAATGACTCACCCAAGATCACACAGGCAGACCCCTGTGTGGATCCCTGCTAGGATTTGAATCTAGGTCCTCTGGTTCTAGGTTCAGTGCTCTTTGTTCCTTTTACACAAGAGACACGGAGAGGAAAATAAAATGGGGGTGAAGTAAGAAGTTAGGTCATATACTGAAGTTTGAAATTTGGAAAAACCAGGTAAGAGGAAGGTTAATGATACTTAAATTATTTTCTTTACTTTTCCTGAAGAGGTAGTGAGATATTTCAATGGATAGAGCACTGGGCTTGGAGTCAAGAAGACCTGAGTTCAAATCCTCTTTTGGGTAGTTAGTCTCAGCTTCAGTTTCCCCATTTATAAAATGAAAGCATTGGACCTTGTGACGTTTAAGGTCCCTTCCAACTCTGATCTGTGAGTTGTGATGCATTTCTGAGAGAGTTGGAGAAGAGATCTGCTCTTCTCTGCCCCTCCCAACCCCCTTCCTGGGCTCGCCTTTGGTGCCTTGACTGCACTGTTCCGGAATGGGTATATGCCATCCCCACCCATATTTTATAGCAACCTTGGCTCTTCTCATCCCCTTTTGCTTGTTGTTTTCACCATTGCTGAAAAGTGAAGCTGAATGTGGTTGCTGTGGGAAGATTGAGGCAGCAGAGAATATGGAAGGGGGCCTTGGAATGGGATGTGAACCCATTGGGTCTTTGTGAAGGGTTAGAGTTTGCAGGGATGCCTGAGCCAAAAGAGCACTGTAGGATGTTTCAGTGAGGGGATGGATGGGTAGGTTGTTTGGTGGGTAGATGGGTGGATGGATGGGTGGATGGATGGGTGATTAGGTGGATAGATGGATGGATGGATGGATTGGGTGAGTGGATAGATGGATGGATGGATTGGGTGGATAGATGGATGGATGGATGGATGGATGGATGGATTGGGTAGATGGATGGATGGATTGGGTGGGTGGATGGATGAATAGATGAATGATTGGGTGGGTGGGTGGATGGATAGGTCAGTGGGTAGATGGATGGATGGATGGATGGATGGGTGGGTGGGT